GGCGGGTCTCGAACCCGCGGGCTCAGGCAATCCACTCACCTCAGCCTCCCAAAGGCGCGGGATTACAGGTTGTGCCACCGAGCCCGGCTCCCTCAATTTTTAAATTAAGAAATGTTTCAGGCTGGGCATGGTGGCTCATGCCTATAATCTCAGTACTTGGAGAGGCAGAGGTGAGAGGATTGCCTGAGCCATGGGGTTCGAGACCAGCCTGGGCAACTTGATGAGACCTCGTCTCTACAATACATCAGCAGTGGATTACACAAAGAAAATGTGGTATATGTATATCACGAAATACTATGCAGCCATAACAAAAAACAAAAGCATATCATTTGCACCAATGTGGACATGGCTGGAGGCCATTATTCTAACCTACCTCCAAGTAGATAGAGTCAGAATTGGAGGACACCCAGCTGGTGTCTGCTGCAGAAATGATTGAATGTTTGCTGGTGGGGAGAATAGAATATTTTGGGGTCATAGAAGTCTTCCATGTTCAGTGCTGTTGTGTTGGTATAAGAGCAGAGGGAAAACAGTTGAGTTTTTACACTCAAACAAGCACTCAACACCGGTGACTGCTTCAGTTTTCCTCTTAGTTTTCCAGCAGCTCTTTCCCAGGTTCCCTGGCCAACTACTCTACTCAACAGCAAAACATTGGGGTTCTTGTCCTGGGCCCACTTCCCACTAAACACACTCAATTCCCATCTACCCTACAGCTTTGGCTCCATCTAGATGACTCCAAAATGTATAACTTCAGCCTAAGACCTTATTACGTTCAAATTTTTAACTGTCTACTTGATTTCCACTTAGAATCTATGTGAATCTTAATAAAATTATTCAAGATGGGGCTGGGCATGGGGTTCAAGCCTGTAATTCCAACATTTTGGGAGACTAAGGCAGGAGGATTGCTTGAGCCCAGAAGTTTGAGATCAGCTTGGGCAACATAGTGAGACCTTGTCTCTACAAAAAAATAAAAAATTAGCTGGGCTCCTATAGTCCTAGCTACTCAGGAGGTTGTGGTAGGAGGATCATTTGAGCTCAGGAGTGAGACTCCTGACTCCAAACAAGAAAATTCAAGATGGAAATTCTGATCTCTCCTCTAGTTCAACATATGGCACCTTTAGTTGTTTATGACAGAAACCAAGGAGTTATTCTGACACCTCCCTTTCTTACATCTTGTCATCCAATTACAACCGTGTCTTGTAGATTCCACCTCCAGAATCTCTCTCCCATTCTTCTCTCTTGTCCATTTCTGTGGCCACCACTCAGCTAACACTATCTCTCTCCTAACACTATAATAGACTCCCTGCTTCCACTCTTTTCTTCTCCATCTTCTCCTCATGGCTGATACATTTAAAAAAGCAACGACTGCCGGGCTCGGTGGCTCAGCCTGTAATCCCAGCACTTTGAGAGGCCGAGGTGGGTGTATTGCCTGAGCCTGCAGGTTCAAGACCAGCCCAGGCAACTTGGTAAGACCTCACCTCTACAACAAATCAAAAATTAGCCAGGCGCGGTAGCATGCGCCTGTAGCTCCTGCTACTTGGAAGGCTTGCCAGAACACAGTAGGTCGAGGCTGCAGTGGCCGGGAGAATGCTACTGCTCTCCAGTCTGGGTGACAGAATGAAGAGACTCCAACTCAAAAATAAAAATAAATAAAAATTTTTAAAAAGCAAAGATTAGATGATATTATTTCATGCTATGAAAACCCTCAAAGGCCTCCCAGAGGACTTAGGGTAAAAAACCCAAACTCTTAAGCATGGTTTAGAAAGCTATGCAGACTCACTCTCCAGGGTGACTTGACCCCTTGCTGGAAATGTTCAGGTCACGGCGGCCTCCCTGCTTAGTTTCTTCACACTTGTGAGCTTGTCCCCACCTCAGGACATAGCAGGGCCATTTCTCTGCCTGGACCATCTGCCAGCCCACACCTGAGGCTCAACACAGCCCACTCCTCTGCTTCCAAGGCTCCTCCACAGAAAGGCCTTCCCTGCCCCCAATCTGAGGCCCTTCCTTTTGTTCTCTTTCAAATGTTCAATTTCAATTATTTACATATTTTTTCTTTAAAGAATTCACTATATTCTACTAAGATTAATTAACAAATGTCTAGAAATAGTTTCTCATCTGATAGCTGCAACTTAAAAAGGTTAAAAAACACAATTTAAAAATCATTTTTCTGATAAATATCAGAATTATGTAGTTACAAACTACTCATACTCTTTATACCAAAATCATAATGAAAACCAATTCTAATATTTTAAAAATTATTATTGTAAAGGTATCAGCAAGATAATGCTCTGAGCTTATAGCAAGGTTAATTCTGAAAAAAAAAGGAAACTCATAGAACCTAATGAAGATCCAGTAACATGGGAATAAAACATTTGGCATTTTAGAGCTAAAAGACCTTTTGAGATGTTGAAGCCCATTATCCTTGTTTATACAGATAATAGAACTGAGCTCTAAAAATGTTAAGTGATTTTTCCTAAGATCACACAGCCGGGCAGTCAAAGAACGAAATATATTCCAAATCTCCTTACTCTTACTTGATTCTGCTATACCTCGTCATTGTGGCAAATGCCTCCTCATAAGAGTGTTTACAACATCCAATAATTACTGTTTTTACACATCTGAATTGTGTAATGATATTTAACCCTGACTTTAAGATTTAAACAGATGAGCTTCTCATTTTAACAGAAATGCACATCTCTTCTGAATTTACAGAGGTGAAATAAAATAACTTACTTGGCACGTGAAGGTCTTGTATAAGTTTTAGAATTATGACGAAGACTTAACATATTTTCATGTTCTACTTGCTTGACTTGAGCTTCAAGTTTTGAGATCACTCTAATTCAAAAGCAATAAGATAAATTAAGTACAGTTCACCAAATTTAAAATATAGTTCAACTACAAATTACTTAACAGACTTTCCCAGAAAGGGAGTGACAAGAGTTGTCAGTCCATAAACCTTTTTCACAGTAAAATACCACCATTAAACTTTAAAAAGTTGAACAAGATTTGTGAATATAAATAGGAAAGCAAATATATTAAACTCTACAAAGAAGCATACTGTAACTAAATGAAAGAGGAACCAGTGGATTTAATATAGCAAGCAAAAAAGATATAAATTTGACTACAGATTAAAACATATATACATATTTACAAGTAAACATAAAATTCATGCATCAAATAAGTTGCATTCTAGTGTCTAATTCTAATGTGTATATATTCATGCATACAAAGGTAATAGGTGACACTTTCACAAAAACTGAAGCAAACTTAACTTCCAAAACAAAGCTATTAAAAAGAACTTTCAGCCGGGCACAGTGGCTCACACCTGTAATCTCAGCATGTTGGGAGGTGGAGGCAAGAGGATTGCCTGAGCCCAGGGGTTCAAGACCAGCCTGGGCAACTTGGTGAGACCTTATCTCTTCAATACATCAAAAAAATTAGGTGGTCATGGTGGTGTACGCCTGTAGTTCCAGTGACCTGGAAGGCTGAGGCAGAAGGATCGCCTAAGCTCAGCAGGTTGAAGCTGCAGTGACTGTGAGCGTGCCACTATACTCTAGTCTGGGCAACAGAGTGAGACTCCAACTCAAAAAAAAAAAAAAGAATTTTCAGTCCAGCACAGTGGCTCATATCTGTAATCCCAGTACTTCCAGGAGGTCGAGGCAGGAAGACTGCTTGAGCCCAGAAGTTTGAGATTTACCTAGGCAGATCTCATCTCTACAAAAAATAAAAAAGATTAGCTGGGTGTGGCAGCTCGCATCTGTAGTCCCAGCTACTCAAGAGGCTGAGGCATGAGGCATGAGGAGGTCGAGGCTACAGTGAGCTGTGATCATGCCACTGTACTCCAGTCTGGGCTAGAGTAAGAACCCAACTCAAAAAAAAAAAAAAAAAAGTACTTACTCTGCATAGGCAGAGGCTAAAATGTCCCAAACAACTTTCAACCTATAGGTAATTTTATGTAATTTGCACCATATTCAAAATAAAAGCCTATTTTTAAGTGCATCAACCAGAAAATAATTACTCTGGCCAATTTAACGGATTTAAAGATATCCTGGCATTCTTTCCGTTCTTTTAAGCTCTGTGCATGTCTTTGTCTTATCTTTTTTTTTGAGTTGGAGTCTTACTCTGTCGCCCAGACTGGAGTGCAGTGGCCGCTCCCGGCCACCACAGCCTCGACCTGCTGGGCTCCGGCGATCCTTCCGCCTCAGCCTTTCGAGTAGCCGGAATTACAGGCATGCGCTACCACGCCCGGTTGAGTTTTTGATTTATTGTAGAGATGAGGTCTCGCTGCCCAGGAGGGTCTCGAACCCGCGGGCTCAGGCAATCCACTCACCTCAGCCTCCCAAAGGCACGGGATTACAGGCTGAGCCACTTGTCTTATCTTTTAACTGAAATTCTTACCTCCTCTGATACAAGTAAGTTTTGAGAAAAAACAGCTCTAATAAGGCTGATGTGTTATACCAATCTGATAAGAATGCTATCACTAGAACTGAATAAATTCCAGAAAAGAGTTAAGCAGATTAAGAAATCTAGACAGCTTTTCCGTTCTTCTCTTGAGAAAGTCCTTAAGACTGTAGTAAAATTTCTAAATAAGGGGCAATACTCATATTCAAATAAAAATACAAAATATACTCTAAAGCCAATTTAGATATTTCTAATCATTTGCAATAGATTAATTTATGACTCTGTTCCTCCTAATTGCACAAATAAGATCATTAATATGGTCTCCAAACCAGGTCTTTATGAAAGTGGATGACCACAACATGCTGGTATGAATGCTATTTTCTTTTTGGTGCACAAAGTAATTTGGTAAATTAGACTGCTCCTTAATTTCCAATGGCTAAACAGCATTTAGATTTTACCTATGCTGAGAAAATATCTGATGTCTGGAGAAATGCACAACCCTGAGAAAAGACTACCAATACATTCTAATCACTTAAAAATCTTGTTTGAAGCTAAGTGCAGTGGTGCATGCCTGTAGTCCCAGATATTCAAGAGGCTAAGGCAAAATGATCACTTGAGTGCAAGGGGTTTGTAGCCAACCTGGACAACACAGTGAGACCCCATCTTTAAAAATTAAAAATTGAGCCGGGCTCAGTGGCTCAGCCTGTAATCCCACGCCTTTGGGAGGCTGAGGTGAGTGGATTGCCTGAGCCCGCGGGTTCGAGACCCGCCTGGGCAACGAGACGTCATCTCTACAATAAATCAAAAAATCAGCCGGGCGTGGTTGCGCATGCCTGTAATTCCGGCTACTTGGAAGGCTGAGGCGGAAGGATCGCCGGAGCCTAGCAGGTCGAGGCTGCGGTGGCCAGGAGCGGCCACTGCACTCCAGTCTGGGCGACAGAGTGAGACTCCAACTCAAAAAAAATTTAAAAATTAAAAAAAATTAAAATTAAAAATTAAACAAAATCTTGTGACTCATGCCTGTAATCCCACTATTATGGGAGGTGAGATGGGAGGACTGCTTGAACTGAAGAGCTCAAGGCTACAGTGAGCTATGATCACACCACTGCACTCCAGCCTGGACAGCAGAAGAAGACCCTGTCTCTAAAACAAAATCCCTTGTTTGACTAGAATCAAAAAGTGTTTCCATGTCAGGGGAAGATTAAGATAAAACTCAAACTGCTTCAAAATCCTCAGGAAGGCCAGGCTCGATGGCTCAGTCTATAATCCCAGCACTTTGGGAGGCCGAGATGAGACCCAGGCAACTTGGTGAGACCTCATCTCTACAGTAAACCAAAAATTAGCCAGGTGTGGTAGCGTGAACCCATACTTCCGGCTAGTTGGAAGGCTGAGGCGGAAGGATCGCCAGAGCCCAGCAGGTTGACGCTGGGATGGCCGTGCTATGAGCGTGCCACTGCACTCCAGCCTGGGAGATGGAGTAAGACTTCAACTCAAAAAAAAAAAAAAAATCCTCAAGGAAAACTTCCTTTTCATCACCTTCAATAAAGACACATAAAAGAACAATTAGAGGTATTTATTAATTACTAGGACAATACATTTTACCTTTTTAAATCAGAAATCTGAGTATGTGCATCAAGCAATTTGTTCTCAGTTGCATTTAATGTATCCTATGGAAATAAAGACAAAATTCAGATAACTGAAGATAAATATTCAGATGCAACCTTTCATTTTAAAATGCATTAAAAAGCCAGCCTAAGGCTAAACCAGATAGCTACAAATTATACTCACAAGTATGGCGTCAACCACAGAGCCAGAATAGATAATTCAAGGAAAATAAATAAAAGCAAAACACTGGCCTGTCCAAGAAGCTCTGTGTATATCCCCTGTACAGCCTACTATGCTTTGTTTAATTAAAAATAAACCCATGTTAAAATGGACATATTTAAACAGCAAACTTAACTAAAACCTCAGTAGACGATAAAACAAATACCTTTGATGATGAGATTTCAGATACTGTCTGATTTGTTCCTGAACCCTCAGAACATCTGGCTGACTAGCTGTGCAGTCCTTTTCACTAACCTTTGATAACCACAAGCCTGCATTTTATGGAATAGAAATTCTTGGTCCCTGCTTACAGTATTATCGTGGGGTTTCACAAAACTCAAACAGCCCCTAGAGCTGAATTAGGAATTCAAACATAATCAATTGAATTAAGAATTCAAACATAATCAATAAACTTAATGCCACAAGAAGCTAATGCTTTAAAAATCAAAACTTTATATTTAAACAGTATTAATTCTTTGCCTCTGTATGGTATCTTATACTCTTCTAAACAATTCATTCCAGATGAAATAGTCATTTAATAAGTTTTTGTAAGTTTTTTTTTTTTTAGTTGGAGTCTCCCTCTGTTGCCCAGGCTGGAATGTAGTGGCACGCTCATGGCCACTGCAGCCTCTGACCTGCTCTGACTGACTGGGCTCAGGTGATCCTTCTGCCTCAGCCTTCCAAGTAGCTGAAACTACAGGCATGTACCACCAGATCCGGCTAATAGTTTGATTTATTGTAGAGATGAAGTCTCACCAAGTTACCCAGGCTGGTCTCAAACTCGTAGGCTCAGGCAATTCTCTTACCTCAGCCTCCCAAAATGCTGGGAATATAAGCATGAGCCACCTCGCCCAACCTTGTTTTTGTAAGATTAACAAATCAACAAACTTGTCAGTTGACCAGAGCAGATATTTGAAAAAAAAAGATACTGAAACAGAGAGGATAAGTAAGTGGTCTAGTTCAGATAGTTACAGTGGTGGAGGAAGGAGAGGGAGGAAAGGGAGAAGGATGAGGAGGAAGAAGGGTCAGATCTCTTTATTCCCATTCCAATGTTTTGCCCCGTATGAAATCTAGAACATGAACAATCACCCATTACCTTTACTCTTCCGTGTTCTTTTCCAAGGGACTCGTACTCTGCTAAAAGCTACAAAGAAAAACAAAGAAGTGCACCATGGAATTAAACATCATTTTATCAACTGATAGACAGTCTAACAAAATAACTGCCCATACCCTTCAAAAATGCCATCGTCATGAAAGAAAAAGGTTAACACAGCATTGGTGATTCTGTATAAAAGGAATAGGGCAATTCCTGATATTGTTCATAAACGTTTTCTGTAAGTTTGAAATTATTTCAAAATAAAAAGTAAAACAAAATAATCTAATATCAACCATATCCTTTTTTTTTTTTTTGAGTTGGAGTCTCACTCTGTCACCCGAACTGGAGTGCAGTAGCCGCTCCCAGCCACCGCAGCCTTGACCTGCTGGGCTCCGGCGATGCTTCCGCCTCAGCCTTCTGAGTAGCCGGAATTATAGGCATGCGCTACCACGCCCAGCTGATTTTTTTGATTTATTGTAGAGATGAGGTCTCACCAACTTGTCCAGGTGGGTCTTGAACCCGCGGGCTCAGGCAATCCACTCACCTCGGCCTCCCAAAGTGCTGGGATTACAGGCTGAGCCACCAAGCCTGGCCATAAAAATATTTATGTGAGACTTCTGGTTAAAGAAGATTCATCACAGAATTTTGTCATCTCCATCCCGCGATCCCACTAAATAAACAATGAAGAAACCAGAGAAAACAAAAGAGGCAACAGTAACAGATGAGAGATTTCAATAAAGTTTTGGAAGACTGAAAAGAGACAAAAGTGCCTTAGCAGGACAGATGAGTTACAACTTCAGTGCCTGAATAAGGGAATGCTGATGGAAAGCAGGTTGATGATATCTTCATAACCCTAAGAGGCTTCCAACTTGAAACCGAGGCTCGGAGGTGGGCAGGGTTAAGGCACAGGGCTGACCACAGGGAACTGGTTGAGATTCCTTAAGTAGTCAGAGCCCAGAACCTTTTCTCCAACCCATATAGCAATGGGCTATCCAGTCAGGTGACAAGACACAGAAGAAACCAAATGAGAGAAAAACGGAACTTGGGAAATCCAAGAAAAAGGGAGGGGAAGGTAAAGTCAGAAAGAAAAAGATGACTAAGGAAAGGTCTTCAAAAAAGCCTGACACCTCCCTCCTCCACTGCCACCACAGCCTGGTCGATAGGTCCTAGTCAAGAAACAAGAGACATATCTTTAGGAAAACTGAGCAACCCCAGAAAAAAAAACCTCTACAGTATTCACATCTGGAGGCTTCTGAACAAAATGGCTGGTGCATAAGTCTACAACTGACTATAAGTGAAGGCTATCAGGAACTGAGTACCATCTAAGCACCTAGCACCTTTTCATCAGCTTTTTACTCTCACTTTTAGATGCAAGCCTGCAAAAGAAGCATTTGAAAAAAAAAACAAGCCAGGCTCGGTGGCTCAGCCTGTAATCCTGCACTTTGGGAGGCTGAGGTGAGTGGATTGCCTGAGCCCGCGGGTT